TCGAACTCCCAACCTCAGGTGATCCACCCGCCTCAGCCTCCCAACGTGCTGAGATTAAGGCCTGAACCACCGTGCCCAGCCTCATTTGGTTTTAGTTTGCACTTCCCTGGTGACTGAAGCTGCTGAGCATCTTTTCATGTGCTTGGTGACCATGTGCCTGCCTTCTTTGGAAACGTGTCTATTTTAGTCCTTCGCCCAGTTTTTAATTGGATTGTCTTAAGAGTCCTCTATATGTCCTGGATATTAGACCCTTATCAGATATGTGATATTTCAAATATTCACTTTCATCCATTTTCACTCTCCTGACAGTGCCCTTATTGAATAAACATTTTATTTTATTTTTTGAGACTGAATTTTAGTCTTGTGGCCCAGACTGGAGTACAGTGGCGAGATCTCGGCTCGCTGCAACCTCTGCCTCGCGGGTTCCAGTGATTCTCTTGCCTCAGCCTCCTGAGTAGTTGGGATTACAGGCATGAGCCACAACACCTGGCTAATTTTGTATTTTTAGTAGAGACAAGTTTTCACCATGCTGGCCAGGCTGGTCTCGAACTCCTGACCTCAGATGATCCACCTGCCTCAGCCTCCCAAAGTGCTGGGATTACAGGTGTGAGCCACTGTGCCCGGCCACCAGACTCCTTTTATACGGGCAGTAATCTGTTCATGAGGGCAGAGTCCTTGCGACCTAATGACCTCCCAAAGATCCCACCACCTACTGCTATCACCCTGGAGGTGGGGATATAACATAACGAATGTTGGGGGGAGACCAACGTTCTCCTCATAGCAGGTGGGCTTCCGGGGCAGAAGGCAGGGCTCCGTTCTCCCAGGGCCTGTCCACCAAGAGGGACCCCACCCACCAGCTGGGCCGTTTGGTAATTCTCCCAGGCGGATGGTTAATTCTGCAAAAAGGAAGAGAATCTCTGTCACCACCGTCCCCTAGTTCACTAAGAAGAGCGATGCTGTCTGACACATACCCACCGTGGACTGCAGTGGAGAGGCCAGACCAGGGAAACTGAGGCACAGCCAGGGGGGCAGGTTTGAGGCAAGAGGAGTGGCAGGGGAGAGAACAGGGACCCCACTCTCATGCCGTAGGTTGAGCAGGGGTGCATGGGAGCTCACTGGTGCTCAGGGCTGCCTCCCAGACCTGGACACCCATGTGGAATGGCCATCCCGCCCTCAACAAGCAGAGGCAACTTCCTCTCCACAGTGGGTAAACTGAGGCCTAGTGAGGAAGCTGGTGGCCAGGAGGGTTCTAGGGTCCTCACAAAGTGTCCTCCAGAGACTCACACCTCCCCTGATGCCAGACCACCTGGCCAGGCTGTGGGGGCAGGGCCTAGGGCCCTGGCCAGGGCTCCACAAGCCTCCACCTGCAGCAGGGGAGAAGGCACAGAATCCAGGCTTGTTTGAGGGGCCAAGGCTGAGCCCCCTCCAGCCCCTGCCCTGCTCTGCCATTGGGACCTGGCGTCTCCCAAATTCTGCATGCATCACCAGAGCAGTGCCCGCTGTCTTTGCAGGCTGGGAACACCTGATGTGACCTGGGCACCCGAGGGGCACCCAGCACAGCAGGAGCCTGGACCTGGAGAGCTTCTGTCCTCCGTACATCAAGGCCTGAGTCATGATTCTGCCCCTTAGCAGCTTCGTGACTCTGGCCAAGCTCTTCCCCACAGTGGACCTCAGTTTCCACATCTGTGGATGGCACCAATCCCGATGAAGACCTAAGGAGACCATTCTGCTGATGGAGTGAGCAGAATCACAAAGCTCTCAGGGCCCAGCCCGGGCATGCCAGGCCTGCAGGCGTCCTAGGGCACAGCATGCATGTGGGAGAAGGGGCTGCTGAGCCCTTCTGCTCCATCTGAGGACACGGGGCTCAGGTATGGAGCCCAATACTGTCCCAAAGCTCTGCTGCCCAGGCACCTCTTGGGGAAACTGAGGCTCAGCCCCACAAAGGCATCAGCCCCACTGAAGACAGGGCCAAGCCCCTGGCCCCTCACTCCCCTCCAGGGGTCTGTGTCACAAGGGCCTCCTCCAGAGAGCCTTGGTGGCTCTGGATTGCCCCGGGGCAAGGGGCTGGGATGGAAAGCCCCACAGCATGGTGGAAAGTCCAGAATTCTACAAGAGCCTCTTTGTCAATCTCCATGCAAGAGGCTGGGTGACACCTGCCCACAGGGGTCAGGCCCCAGCCCGGTAATACAGGTGCACCCGCAAAGATTTCAGGTCTTTTAAAAAAAGTGAAATGCGGCCAGGCGTGGTGGCTCACGCCTGTAATCCAAGCACTTTGGAGGCCAAGGCGGGCAGATCACCTGAAGTCAGGAGTTCAAGACTAGCCTGACCAACATGGTGAAACCCCATCTTTTTTTTAAAAAAAAATAAATAAGTGAAGTGCAGGCTTGGATGTTGCTTTTCAGTTTTTAATTCCCCTTGACCTACCTCTGGGCGAAGGCTTCCACTGACCCACTTAACCACCTGGGGCGAGAAGAGCCACCAGGTCGCCCGGAGTGACTTCAGGGCAGGACGGCCTCACAGGAGAGAGGGGAGCCGGTCATCCCAAAGCTGTGTGTGCCGTTCCCCGGCACCCCGGGACCTTTCTGCATGGACAGTGGAGCCCGTGGGCCTGAGGGTTGCCATTGAACTTGATGTTAGTAAGCCCTCCCCTGGTGAGACCCCTGACCACAGAGGAGCAAGGAGAACGGGGTGTTTCAAGGGCAGGCAGGGGCCCGTGCAGAGCGGGGCTTCTGTGCGATTTTAGCTTGTGCTTATTCCTTTTTTTTTTTTTTTTTTTTTTTGAGACGGAGTTTCACTCTTGTTACCCAGGCTGGAGTGCAATGGCTCGATCTCGGCTCACCGCAACCTCCGCCTCCTGGGTTCAGGCAATTCTCCTGCCTCAGCCTCCTGAGTAGCTGGGATTACAGGCACGCACCTCCATGCCCAGCTAATTTTTTGTATTTTTTAGTAGAGATGGGGTTTCACCATGTTGACCAGGATGGTCTCGATCTCTTGACCTCGTGATCCACCCGCCTCAGCCTCCCAAAGTGCTGGGATTACAGGCTTGAGCCACCGCGCCCGGCCTGGCTTGTGCTTATTCTAAATATTTTTGCCATAAATACAGAACTCCAGGGGAGAGGGCAGGAAACCCGGTGAGCTGAGGCCTGGCCCAGCTAGGGACAGGATGTGCCTCTCGGAGTGGGCACCTGCAGGGCGGCCCAGGAGGGTCTTCCCTGGCGGGGTCTGCAGAAGGCACAGTGCAGGGAGTGAGAGAGCACACTCCACACACTGAGACACGGGCAGCGTGAGGGCCCTGCTCCCAGCTCAGCGCTCCTGGGCACTCCACACACCCAGACATGGGCAGCGTGAGGGCCCTGCTCCCAGCTCAGCGCTCCTGGGTACTCCACACACCCAGACACGGGCAGCGTGAGGGCCCTGCTCCCAGCTCAGCGCTCCTGGGCGCTCCACACACCCAGACATGGGCAGCGTGAGGGCCCTGCTCTCAGCTCAGCGCTCCTGGGCGCTCCACACACCCAGACATGGGCAGTGAGAGGGCCCTGCTCCCAGCTCAGAGCTCCTGGGGCACACCATACCTCAGCCAGCCTGTTCCCACCCCGACTCCGCACTGCCTGACACTCCACAGCCACCCCTGGCTGTCTGAGACGGACCCCCTCCCCCACAGGTTGTCCTCCAGGACAACCCCAGCACCTGAACCCAGGCTGACCACCTCGGCCACCACCTTTGGCCCCACCTTCCAGGTTTGTTATCAAGCACCCCTGGAGTCTTTTCTGGAGGAATCTCAGCACGTGCAGAACATTCAGGGGGACGCTGGAGCTGGAGGTAGAAGGAGAAATTGAGATCGAGCCCTGGTCCAGAGGAGAGGTGCCCACTGCTCCCCATCCCGGACTCTGGCTGCCCAACGACCAACGGCACACCTGCCCACGCGGGAATCTTGGTGGCATCTCTCACTGCGTCAGTCACCCCAGCCCAATGCTGCCCAGATTCAGGCTTCTTGGTACCTTTGTCACTCCTCAGCCCTGACCCATACTGGGCAGGGCGCTTCCTTCTCAGGCTTAGGGGGAACACTGTACCCAGAGTCCTTTGTGGTTCTCTGCAGCCTGCACACAGGGCCTGCCTCGCTGTCTGACCGCACAGACAAGGGGTCTATGTCACCAAGGCCTCCCGCTGAGGCCAGCCCCCTCGAGGCCATGCCTGCGGGGCCACCAAGGGTTCAGCATCCTTGCAGGCCCCAGGCCTCTGCCCTTGCTCCTGCTTTACTGGGGGCACTGTCCCCACCCACGTCCACCTGAGACCCTCATCTCCTGTCCACTGTAGCTCCTCTCTGGGACGTCTTCCCAGATGCCCCTGAAGCTCCTGTCTGAGCCACAGTGTCCCTCAGCCTCTGTCACTGGTCCTAGGAAGGCCCCTCAGGAGCTCACACTCAGGGCCACGCCCAGGGCCTCCACCATGGGGCCAGCTGCCTTCCTTCTAAAGCACCTGGAGGAAGGATGTAGGTGGGGTCAATGTGAACCTCCATCCCCAGGCAAATATACCCCTTTTGAAGATGAGGGAACCGAAGCTCACAGGAGGAAAGGACTTGCCTGGTGTCACACGGCCAGCCTAGGGTGGCGAAATCAGGAGCTGCCTAGGGTGGGACACCAGCCCTACAGTCTCCTCCATCAGACTGGGACCCTGCATCCGGCTCCTCCCACAGCCCCAGGTGGGCCCCTGAGTGGGGCTCTCAGCTTGTGTGGAGGTACCCCAGGGACGCCACCCCAATCTAGCCTCCGTGGAGGCTCATGCAGGCCACTTGGAGGGGCCAGTGCACTCCGGCAGCCCCTGTCAGGCCCCTGAGCACCGAGCCTCCCCACCGAGGGCAGCTGTCCCGGCTTTGCCACATTCCAGCAGGGCCCTCGGGGAGGCAGGCCAGGGCCACATTGTGGAAGCCAGAGGCCTTTGAGCCCCGCCCAGAGCAAGTCTCAGTCCCCAGCCCCCAAGGCAGTTGCCCCGGTGGGTGAGTCAGGCTGGGTGAGGGAGAGCAGCGCCTCCATCACACGGAAGCGTCCCCGCCGCAGGGAGGCTGAGGCTCTGGCCCTGATTGGGCACCGGGTGGAGCTACCTTTGCGCTTTGCCTGGTCACGGGGGTATAACAGGGGTGCGCGGGGCTGGCAGGCGGGGGACACGGGTGCACAGCCGGCGCGGACGCCCCACAGGCCCGTCGGGGACCCGAGGCGAGGAGAGGGACTGCCAGCATCCCGGGACCCCCGCCCAGCCCCGAGCAGACCCCATGGCGGACGCGGTGCTGCGCCGGCTCCTGAGGCTGCACCGCACGGAGATCGCGGTGGCGGTGGACAGCGCCTTTCCCCTGCTGCACGCGCTGGCTGACTACGACGTGGTCCCCGAGGACAAGTTCCAGGTGGGCCCCCGCCCTCCCCTGCCCCCAGGCCCTGTGAGTCAGGGGCAGTCCCCAGGGAAATTCCAGGAGGACCCCACCCCGAGCCTCCCAGTTCCTCCAGTCCCCCCAGGCGGGGCACGGTGGCTCAGGCCTGTAGTCCCAGCACTTTGGGAGGCCGAAGCGGGCGGATCACCTGAGGTTTGGAGTTTGAGACCAGCCTGACCAACATGTAGAAACCTCATCTCTACTAAAAATACAAAATTAGCTGGGCACAGTGGCAGTCACCTGTAATCTAGCTATTTGGAAAGCTGAGGAAGGAGAATCACTTAAACCCGGGAGGCGGAGGTTGCAGTAAGCAGAGATCACGCCATTGCACTCCAGCCTGGGCAACAAGAGTGAAACTCCATCTCAAAAAAAAAAAAAAAAAAAAGCCGAGTGCAGTGGTTCACACCTGTAATCCCAGTACTCTGAGAGGCCAAGGTGGGCGGATCACCTGAAGTTGGGGGTTTGAGACCAGCCTGGCCAACATGGAGAAACCCCATCTCTTCTGAAAATACAAAAAAACTTAGCTGGGCATGGTGGCACATGCCTATAATCTTAGTTACTCGGGAGGCTGAGGCAGGAGAATTGCTTACCCAGGAGGCGGAGGTTGCAATGAGCCGATACCACGCCACTGCACTCCAGCCTGGGCAACAAGAGCAAAACTGTCTCAAAAAAAAAAAGTTGGCTCCCTTTCCCCAGCCACCCCCACACCTCACCCCCAAGCCAAAGGAATGGCCTCCAGGACGAGTTTCCCCGGCCCCCACCCTCAACACCCTGTGTCACCACCTGATCCCACCACAAACCGAGGAGATGGGTATGGAGGTGCCCAGGTCTCCAGTGACTCTGCGTGGGAGAGCCCCCCTTTAGTCACGGTGAAGACAGGCAGGCTGCAGGGTTAGGTGACCATGGCAGGGACCCTCATGCCACCCACTGCAGGAGACACTTCGTCTGAAGGAGAAGGAGGGCTGCCCCCAGGCCTTCCACGCCCTCCTGTCCTGGCTGCTGACCCAGGACTCCACAGCCATCCTGGACTTCTGGAGGGTTCTGTTCAAGGACTTCAACGTGGAGCGCTATGGCCGGCTGCAGCCCATCCTCGACAGCTTCCCCAAAGGTGGGTGCTGGTGTGCCTGGCTGCCAGGGTGCCTGGGGCAGCTGCTGTCACCCGCTCAGCCCAGCTGGACTGGAGCTGGAGTGGTGTTTGGGGAGGCCGTGGGTGATACCCCAGGATGGGCTTGGATCCTAAGAGGCAAAGGGCCCAGGCCTCACCCACGTGGCCAGGGTGTCCAGTTCTGGGGCCCAGCCCCCCCTGCAGAAAACTCTGAGGCTGGGACCCTGCTTCTGCCCCTGAGCTGCAGATGTGGACCTCAGCCAGCCCCGGAAGGGGAGGAAGCCCCCGGCCATCCCCAAGGCTTTGGTGCCGCCACCCAGGCTCCCCACCAAGAGGAAGGCCGCAGAAGAGGCTCGAGCTGCCGCGCCAGCCACCCTGACTCCAAGGACCACCTGCAGCCCAGGTACCCAGTAGGGGAAGCCAGTTGGGGGCTCCAGTCTTCCTGGGAGCCTGCGCCCCCTCCCCACCCGGGCTTCCCCTCACTGGGGTGGAGCCAGCCTGCCTGGGGCTGTGGAGGTCCCCTCTGGGTACTAGACCCACACACTGGACCAGCCTCTCAGCCCCTTCCTGCCCGAAGGCTGAGCTCCCCAGGGCTGGCGAAGTAGGCACGTGGGTTTTATCTGCTTTCTACTGAGGGGAAACCAGAGCCCTTCAAAGGGAAGGACCCACGGGAGGCCGGAATACCCAGGACTGGACCCCGCTCCACACTCTCCCACCTCGGGCCCCTGCCCACTAGCACTTACCCCCACTGAGAAGGAGGCCAGGCTGCCCCCAGCTCCCCCATTCAGGCTCTCAGCTGAAGGCCAAGCCCCCCAGGAAGCCGGAGAGCAGCGCAGAGCAGCAGCGCCTTCCGCTCGGGAATGGTGAGCAGGGCCCAGGGGGAGCGCCTCCCTTCTCCCTGGCCAGGGGCAAGGGGTCAGGGGTCAGAGCAGGGCCTGCCCTCTGAGGGCCTGTCCTGGGGACTGGGAATGTGCTGGCCTGGCATGCAAGGGCCATCCCAAGGGCCTGAGCGGCACCGCTAGACCCAGGAAGGAGACACCCTGGCTCCAAGCATGATCTTGCCAGTCACCTCTGCCCCCACTGCACCCCGGTTCTGGGACCCCCTTCTCAGGCACCCCACTTCTGCCCGTCCATTCCCTATCCTCCAGGATGAGTCCAGACACTGCTTCCTCCAGAAAATCATCCCTGGCCCCCAGCTGCATGCAGACTGGACCCCTCCCAATTCCCTCTCATTCCTTCCCAGGGCACTGGACCCCAGAGACACCCTGTGCCCACCGCTGTCCTCCCTGAGGGCAGAGACTAGGAACTCTGTGTCCCTCCCAGCACAACCATGCTATGGGGGGCCTGGTCATTAGTCATTCCTTCCTATCCATGCGCCAGCTCTGCTGACAGTACCACCCCCAGCACACACACACACGAGTGCACACATGAACACATTCGCGTGTCTCTGCACTTACCTGTGGGCTGTCTGCATATGGCAGGACTGGGTCCCCTCCTCGGCCTGCCCTGGCTGGAAGGAGAGGCCTCTGCATCCAGGTACCACCTGCTCCTGGCACGGAGGATGTGCTTGGAAACAGTCTTCCCCACGGGTGACCCCAATGGGTGGTCCCTTTCCCAGGGATTCAGACCATGTCAGCTTCAGTCCAGAGAGCTGTGACCGTGTCCTCCGGGGACGTCCCGGGAACCCGAGGAGCCGTGGAGGGGATCCTCATCCAGCAGGTGTTTGAGTCGGGTAGGCGCTGTGGTGGGGAGTGCGGCTGACGGGGAGACCCAGGCCCCAAGATGGAAGGAGGACTCCGCACCCTCGTGGTCCTACCGCACAGAGCTGTGGCTCAGGTAGCCAGAGTTTCTGCCTGTGGTTCTGACTTTGGAGAAGAAGGGTGGGCACTGACGTCTCCCTTTCGGGGGGTCTTCTGTGAGGCCAGTGGTCCAGGCATGCATCCCAGCTTGGTGTGCACAGCACTCCCCATCACCTTCATCCATCCACAAGGGCCCTCCTGGGCCATGGGATTGCATCCTTAGAAAGTTCTGCTGGTGCTGATGAGGACCTCCAGGGAGTCTGCATTCCAACCAGGACAGCCCGCGGAGCCCTCGCCCCCATACCGTAGGCAACCTGCAGCACCCTCACCCCCATACCCTGGCCAGCCGCCGACCCCATGCAATCACCAGCACCATCTGACCAGGGCACAGCAGGGCTGGTGGCGGCAGGCCCACCATGCCATTGGGGCATTTGATCTACAGTCCCTGCCCGGCTGGATATGGGCTGGGGACACCGAGGGCAGCCGGGGCCCTGGTGTTGCACCTCTGGGAGGGCCCCAGGCCCCTGTGTGACTTCCTAAGGCTGTTGGACCAAGTTGGCACAAGCTGGAGGCTTAAAACAACAGAATGCCAAGGTCCAGGCGTCCTGGCAGCGCTCCTCTGGGGGCTCGAGGGAAGTCTTTCCTTGTCCCTCCCAGCTGCTGGCTGTTATGGGGGTGCCCGTGCCCTTCCTCCCGGGCTCAGGACCCTACCGCTCCAGGCTCTGCCTCTGTGGTCACACAGCTATCTCTTGTGTGTCCCATTTTTGTAAGGACACCAGTGATTGAACTTATGGTCCAGTGCGACCTCATGTTAACTAATCACATCTAGGAAGACTCCAGTTCTAAGTAAGGTCACACTCTGAGGTTCTGGGTGGACGTGAACTTTGGGGGACACTATTGAACCCCCTTGTGCAGACAGCCCCAGGACAATCCTCGGGCCTGAGTCGCTGGGGGTGGGGGTGAGCTGGAGGAATGCAGGCTGGGGAACACCACTTGTCCCTAGGAGGCCCCAGCCCACGGCCTGCACCACCACCAAGGCAGGTCCTGCTGGGGGGGTGACACAGCACCAGACAGTGTCTCCTCCCAGGGAGCTCCAAGAAGTGCATCCAGGTCGGGGGGGAGTTTTACACTCCCAGCAAGTTCGAAGATCCCGGTGGGAAGAGCAAGGCCCGCAGCAGCGGTGGCCTGAAGCCTCTGGTTCGAGCCAAGGGAGCCCAGGGCGCTGCCCCCGTAAGCACCTCCTGTCCCTGGGGAGCCCGGCTCCTGATATACCCCCACCCAGGAATAGCATGGCCTCCGGGGCAATGGCTCTGCTGGGGGCTGGGGGCTGCTGCCGAGACGCCTGGCACCACAGCCACGTGCACCCTCGCTGCCCAGGCTGCCCCCATGGCTGACGATCTCTTCCTTGCAGGGTGGAGGTGAGCCTAGGCTGGGCCAGCAGGGCAGGGTTCCCGCCCCTCCGGCCCTCCCCAGTGACCCCCAGCCCCACCAGGTAACAACCTAGAGCACAGGAGGGCCCTGTCTGCCCCAGCTCCCCTCGGGCAGGCCCTGCTGCCTCTGTCTTGTCCCAGGCACTCAGGCACGAGCACCAGGGCCCGAGCCCCTCCCCACAGGGTAGAGCTCTTTTTCCGTAATAGACAGTTTTTCCTCATAATATACAATTATAATATTATTTTAAATAAGTCAGAGAAATGAGGTCCTCTCAGGTGTTTGGCCCGGGCTGTACCCCAGCAATCTCTGATGGGCGCAGTGACGTCACTGCTGCATTGGGACCAGCCTAGTCTGGGTGACTGGGGGGCTTCTGTCTGGGAGGCCCCTGAAGGCATAGCAGACACCATCCAGGCAGGGCACCAGGAGGGTGGGGCGGAGGGTTCAGCAGGCGCTGAGGTCAGGAGGGGCTCCCTGGGCCTGGCCCCACTGCCCTGTGAGGAAGGGCGTGTGGTGGGGTGTACAGCTCCCGGGCCCCCGGAACACAGCAGCCCTCAGAAACCGGGTTTTCTCCCCACTAAGGATGGCAGGTGTATGTCAGACGAGATGGACAGGAAGAGGGGGGTCAGGGTGGAATTTCAGGTCTCAGCAGCATAGGGGCAGGGCAGAGCCCAGGAGCTCAGGCCCCCAGAGACTCTGCTGGGGGCCGTTTCGGGGAGGAGGTGGCTGTCAGGAGGGGGCTGCATCCCATCTCTCTCTTCCCCGTCCCAGAAGAACGAGGACGAGTGTGCCGTGTGCAGGGACGGCGGGGAGCTCATCTGCTGTGACGGCTGCCCTCGAGCCTTCCACCTGGCCTGCCTGTCCCCGCCGCTCCGGGACATCCCCAGGTGAGCCAGCACCTCTGCCATTGCAAACCGGCGTCCCACTTCACGGCCACCTCCACCCGCTGACGCTGAAGGGAAGCCACCCCGAAGCTCTCCCATCCATGAGGGAGCAGGGCTCTGGGTCAGGTCACTGGGTTGTGGGGACTGGGGACTGGGCCTGAGGTTTTCCCACCCTGCCACCTGCCTGCCGGCCTGGCCACACTGGCCGCCCAGCCTGGACAACCAGGCCCGTGAGGGCAGCAAAGCAGAACAGAGGCCCAGTGTGGAGATGCCACCCGGTCCGAGCCCACCCCAGGCTCCAGCCCATAGCCTCATGAGTAGCTGGCCCCCACCCCAGAGTCCCACCCAGACAGGGCTGGGGAGCACAGAGGCCACAGAGCTGCACCCCTAAAGGCAGGTGAGACTTTACCAATGTTCAGGACCCCGGGCTTAGTGGGGCTGGGAGGCCTCCTCTGCATTCACACCCCAGCGCTCCCTCCGCATAGCACACTGGGCCCTGTCCCCACCCCAACCCCACAGGACGTGGCAGTCTGTGGGAGGAAGAGCTCTGGGTGGAGTGGGGACCCCACGTTCCAGCGAGGCTCTGCCCCAGCCCCTGAGTGGCTGTCATCAGGCCCCGTCTCAGCGTCACACAGCGTCACTAGAATAAGGGGCACAGTGGGGGGCATCCTTCCTCTCCTGAAGCCCTCTCCTTCCTGTCTCTCCCTGCCCTTGGTTGCCTCCCATTCTGCAGGGTGCCATTCCCCTTAAGGAAACAGGGGTGGGTCCCGGGACATACACAGTCAGCTTGGGGAGGCCCCTGGCAGGGCCCAGCCCTGAGAGGCAGGCATGGCCACTGCACTGGGGATTCGGGGGTTCATCAGAGAAGCACGCCAAGGGGACCCTGATCACGCTGGCCAGGGCAACTCCACACGGGCAAATGTCCCCTGCTGGGCTTTCCCTGCCTGAGTCTCTGCCCAGCTCCCCGCTGTGCCTTGGTTTCCCCACTGTAAAAGGACTTGGTGCTATGGAGCCCTGGGGTCCCGTCCTTGGGTTTGGGGATCTGTCATCCCCTCTCTTGTTCTGTATCTCTGACTGGTGGACACACGAGCAGTGGGACCTGGAGGTGCTCCAGCTGCCTGCAGGCGACAGTCCCTGAGATGCAGCCCCGAGCAGAGGAGCCCCAGCCCCAGGAGCCACCTGTGGAGACCCCGGTACGGCCACGCCCACTCCAGGTCCGGCCACCCCTCCTGTCTGCCTGCCCCCTGGAGTCCTATGGGACAGGCCTGCCCCAGCCATAGCACTGTCTACCCCCAATGCCCAAGCCCGGTCCTTGTGGTCTCCCGCGGCGGAGCCCCCATCACGGTTCCTGCCGGCCTGAACCCAGCTTCCGGCTGTGGGGCCCGCCCAGGGGAGGCACGGTGAGCACTGAGAAGTCCCCAGAGCTGTGCTCCTCTGGCTGCTGCTGCGAAGATGGCGGGCCACCGAGCTCGCCCCGTGCAGACCCAGCGTTCCCTCCCACAGCCCTGAGGGCCGGGCGTCGCTGGGTTAGGATAGAGGACCACAGGGGCCGGGAACTGCCACAGGCCTTTCCCACGCTGGCCTCCACCCCTACCCGCCGCCCGGGTTTCAGGGTCCCAGCAGTCACCAACTGCCAGGTGGTGCCAGGCAGGTCCCCGCTGCCCCTCAGAATGCTGACCCTTGGGTTCCAGCTCTCCCTGGGGCTGAGGTCGGCGGGAGAGGAGGCGAGGGGCCCACTCGGGGAGCCCCCAGCCGGCATGGACACGGCTCTCATCTACAAGCACCTGCCAGCCCCGCCTCCTGCAGCCCCCCTGCCAGGGCTGGACCCCTCGGCCTTGCACCCCCTACTGTGTGTGAGCCCTGAGGGGCAGCAGGTGAGCCGGGAGTAGGGGTCAGGGTGGGAGCCCAGGACCTACAGGGCTGAATTCACCTGAAATGGAAGAAGAGGGAGGCACAGGACCTGGGGCTGTGGGGGGAGCGTGGGGGCTGGTGGGGGGAGTGTGGGGGGCTGTGAGGGGAGCGTGGGGGCCTGCGGGGGGAGCATGGGGGGCTGTGAGGGGAAGGGGAGGCTCCCGGACACATTCTCTCATTGCTCCTGGACCCTCCCCTCACTCCAGCTCCTGGCCGTGAGCATCACTGCTTCCTGCACAAGGCAGGACAATGAAGGGAGGATGACTCAGTGCCAGTGGGAGCCCACCTCGCCCTGCCTCATCCCCCCACTGTGCCTCATCCTCACTCTGCGTCATCCCCCATCACACGTCATGCCCCCACCACTGTGCCCATCCCCCACTGTGCCTCATCCTCACTTTGCCTCATCCCCCATCACACGTTATCCCCCCATCGCACCTCATCCTCCCCACCTCGCCTCATATCCCACATGGCTCCTCATCCCCGCCCTGCCTCATCCCCCCACCACACATCATCCCCCCC